GTGGGTAATACTGGTTTACTTCCCAAGGCTGTTGTGAGGCCCAACTCATGGCTGGGCTGCGAAAGTGTGCTCCAGCCAGCCCTAGGTGAGCACTACGTGTCAAGATGACTTCCTTCCTCAGGGCCGTTCGGCTCCAGCACAGTAGCTGCGTTTTGATGAGCTTCAGCTTGTTTGCCCAGTTTTCCCAGCAGAGACGCACTGGTGTCAGTCTGGGAGTGCGACAGCCTGTTCTCTCCAGGCCTCGCAAGCCCTTGTTAAGACTGACCTTTGCCGCAGGAGGGTGACCTCTGAGCACTCTCCTTCTCATCTGCCTTGCAAAGTGGCTGCTGCAATTAGAAATGCAGAGCAGCCCTTTAAAAAGCAAACCGCCTTGTCATGCAGGTTGGGGTGCGGAAACAGAACGTGCTAAGTGGAAAGAGAAATGGAGCGGCTGGAGATTTCCTAGAGGGAAGTCATTCTGAAGCCCCTGCTTGTAGATTAAAATGAGATGCGAGCTTTGTGACCCAGGAGAGGCCTGTAAACTCACCTACAATACAGTCATGAATAGCTATTCCCCCAGCTTCAGTTTGTGAAATAAAAATCCCAGCCTGCCTTTTGCTAGCTGGTAGGAAGCCCCAGACATTGATCCAGTAATTCTCCTGATGACCCACCTTTCTGATGTCGCCCTCTTTGGTGTATGTTATTTAAATGACAATAATACAATTGTGTTTTATGAGCTACTTGAGTCCCCAAGTAGATACCCTGAGAGGCTGAAGGGGGAAAGCTGATTAGAATGAAACAGGACTGTGGTCCCATTACCTACACAGCCATATGGAATTAAGGTGAAAAAGGTGTGCCGCCTTTGGCTTTTTTCTGATGGATAACGGAAACCTGGAATGTTTGTTTGCTTTTCTGCTTTTATTTTAGAAATATCAGGCACATCAAATTGTCTTTCCTGTTTTTGTAGGATGACTCTGTGGAGGGCCAGAGAACTGGAGCAGCAGCTTTCTCAGCCCTTAGTTGGAGTGGAGGTGTTGCATGTTTCACAGAGAGCTTTTTCTCCCCGCTGTTTGTTAAGGGTTTGAGTTAAATAGGCACTAACCAAAAAGACCCTCTCTGAATTTGAAATTGCCTGACCCTTTCTCAATAGCTCTTGTAATGTCCTCATTCCACTAGCTCTCCAGCGCTCGCCCTTCAGCAAAGCCAGATAAATTGAGACCTGATTATTTCTGCTGGAAACAAGCAAGCAGGACCCCTACTTTTTTTTAAACCCCTTAGCCCTCCTCCCCCTACCACCGCCGGGCTGCCTTTATACTTCAGAGGGCCAAATGCGATTCCCTCCCTTTATAAAAAAGCATTGAGAATGGAGGAATTGATTTGGGTAATGCAGAGCCTGACTCTGGATATGGGGGATCACCCCACAGATTGGTGACTTATTACAAAAGGGATTTATTTGATGAATAACCACCGCTGTTTTCAGTAACCCTTATGCAGCACACTAGCTCTCTTCCCTCATGGGTGGGTGAGAAACATGGGTCTCTCTATATACCTCAGCTACTTCTATAACCACCCATTGACGTAGTATCTGAACCCCTCGTGATCTTTAATGCAGATGGAGACCTGAGGCCCAGAGAGGCTAAGTGACTTGCCCAAGGTCTCACAGGAAGTCTGTGGCAGAGCAGAGGAATTGAATCTGGCTCTCCAACAGCCCAAGCTAGCATCCTAACCACTTGACCATCCTTCCTCTCCCCATGAAGCATGTGGGTGTGTGGGGTAACCATAAAGTGCTTTTTCAGACAGTTCTATTGAGGCATTCTCCTTGCATGGCAACATGACAGTCCAGAGTCTCGTCTGTAGCGGTAGCTGCTGCTGACACCAGGACCCTGAGTTGGAATTGATTTTTTGTTTTATTCACGCTGTGCAGGTATCTGAAGTGATCACGTGGCTTGGAAATCATTAGCCAGTTTGCCCTCCCAAGATGACTCTGCCGGTCGTGGGCGAGGGTGTTGTGGGGCGTCTGAAATCTTCCCCTACGCTTTCATTTTCTATTTGTCCCCCAGTGCTTTCGGTTCCTGAAATCTGTAGGCGGTTTTGGAAGCTGGCAGCTGGAACCAACCAGCAAGAACGCTGGTTCTCTGCTGCCATGCCAACCCCGTCTCCATGGAAATGGAGGCCCAATGGGCGAACACCAGGCAAATCAAACTTTGTCAAAGTGTTTCAATACCCTCCTTAAATCTCTGCTCTGGTCCATTTCCACAGGGACAGGACATTCCAACAAGCAACTGAGCTTGCAGAGCTCAGACCCCGCAGCTGCTGCCTTGTGTGCGCCCCTTGCACCTGGTGCTCTCATTGGTTAATTTCAGCAAGTGGTTTCAAAACCACTGCTTTAATAAGACTGGTGACATCTTATTTTTACTCCTTGAACTCTTTTAAAAAAAAAAAAAGCCTAATTTAATTAAAATCTGTGTCTCTTATATAATCTTCAGCATGCAGTTCTGCTGGAAACCACCCACACTTGGTTGGTTGAAGGCCTAGCAGTGCGTGGGTGCTTGCATGGGGGATAGGTCCCTTGGGTGGGCCGTCTTGTGGGCCCGTTACATTACCTGTTACATAACTCACTGCAGCCCTTGTTTATATTAATCAAGATCGAAGACTAGGTACGTGTCAAAACATTTTAAAATAACTCAGACTTTTGTTAGCGCTGCAGCTATGTTTAGAAACGATTTTTAAAAAAAACAAACCCTTCCTGTGAGATTAAAAAGAAAGCGATTTTATCTGACAGTGATTTAAAGGGACATTTACAAGTTAGGAATCTCATTTCCCGCTGAAAATTCTATGGATTACTGTTATAAATACCCCATAAGATTCCTATAGCTATGAAAACAATTGTTTGTTTTTTCTTTAGTGTATTCCCCTTATGCACTGGCAACTGTTTTGTGTGGAGTTACTTTCACTGTTTTGTTGGTCAGTTACGCGTCCTGTCTTATGCACTAGCTGATCTCACCGCTGTGTGGCCAGTCCCATGCCTGCTCTGCTTTTGACTGGGATAGAGGGCTTGTGTGCATACATACTGTGCCCCTCACACCTTGCAAAAGGGTGTTTACCGGTAATAACAGCTGCAAAACTGAAACGGAGAAGTCGGCAAACAGGCCTGTGCCCAGAGAGGAAGGAGAGGGTGTGTTCAAGCATATTTGGTGCTGCCACTCTTCCCTGCTGGATAGACCCTTGCAAATATCACAGGGGAGCAGAAAACACCTTTTGCAAATCAACGTTTTATAAAGGAATTGAGGTAAATAATTGTTTCCGCATTGTTTAAAAGGGGCTCCTCACACTCTTGAATCGTTTAAATTGTCAGTAGGAATTTTTTCAATGTACCGGTGTCCATTTAGACAGGTAATCCTGAGCTACAGGTCCCAAAATGCTCCTCTACTGCACCAGTTCTTAAAAAAACCACCACACAACAAAACTGTTAGCTCAGGCTATGACAACTCTTCAAGCATCTTACTAGGCAAATCTTGCCGTCATCTCTATATTAGAAACCCATCAGAGTCAAGGCACTTAATGTTTGTTTCCTAAACACTAATTTCCTCATATGGCAGTTAGCTTTAGGGTGGGTTTTTTTGTTTCTTTGTTTGGGTTTTTTTTTAAGGTGAATGCAAAAGAAAAATAAGACCTGAGTGTAGTCCAGATTTTGATTCCGAAGCTCCTGTCTGTCTAACCAGGCTTGGGGGTGGACTGGGGGGAATCAGGTAACCCAGATTCCATTAATTTTAAAAATCCTCTTTCTCCCTCTGTGGAATTCTCCTCCTGGTACTTCCTGGCTCAGCAAAATGATCTCGGAACGCAAGACCGCAAATACCAGGTGCCTTTTTTGCAATCTATGGCATTAATTATGTCAGAGTGAAGCATTCTGGGATATCTTCACTGAGCCCAGGGATACCAACAAAGAATGTTTAAAAAGTTAGTCAAAGCTGGTGCATGGGGTCTCTGCACTAGATTCTGGGTGGGCTTCCCTCATTCTTCCCTTTTATTTTGAAGTTCCCCTTTGAGTAACACAGAGGAGAAATGTTTAAAGGGGCGATACTGTAGTCATGTTTTGGGGGAGGGGTTCTAGCTGTAGCCCCCATCAGCTACGCATTGGCTATAGCCCACCTTCTCTTTCCAGCTGTTCTCATACTGCCCAGTCTACTTCCTTCTCGCCAGCTACCTCTGTGAGCACCTCTCTCTGGTCTGGCCAGGGCAGGCAGATAGGCTGTGTGGACATGGTGGCTTCTTCTGTACCACTCCGTAGAGTGGCAGCAGGTCAGGAAGGCTATGCTAAAGGACAGCAGCCTGTGTCCACCATTGTGGTGTCTCCCTTGTCGCTGGCTTCGTCCAGTTCAGCACCTTGTAAGTAGCCAAAGGAAATCTGAATATTCCTTAGAAAAATCCCAGTTTGCCTCCGTTCACCAGTTCCTCTCTCCTCATCGGGTTGTCATGTTCCCACGTGTGCTGAGGTCACTGGGTCAGGCTAGACATGCCTTGGCTGGTAATAGTCTTTGTCTGGCGGCTGCATGGAGGTTGGAGACAGAGGGGCCTGGACGCATTGCGTGCTGATCCCTTTGCACATTTACAGTCATTCCTTCCTAGGTTGGCCATGGGAGTTTCTGCTGCAAACACAAGTGGGGAAAGGCACCGGTATTAGAGACATTGAGTCTACCTGGGCCATTAATAAGCAGCAAACTGGCAAGGCAGGTGACACCCCTCTCTCCGCACAAGGTGTCCTGGGGCTGGGGAAGACCTGTGGGAGCCTGGAGCTGTTTCAAACCTGTTCCCTTAGCAGGTGTCCCCAGCGAAGAGAGGTCCCAGGGAGTGGGCAGCAGAGTGCCTGTCAAGTTGCTCTTCGGTGCTCCTTGCTCTGCCTCCAGGTAGCCGATTACAGGCCCAGCACTCTCCATCTGCCTCGCCCAGCGTGTCCTGGTGTTTCCTGCTCGCCGCGTGCCGAGCCACTTGACACCTGCCATCTCGCTCTTTCCCCTCAGGAGGCAGGAGCAGTTCCAGACCAACCCTGACAGTTACAATGGAGCCGTGCGAGAGAACTACGCCTGGTCCCAAGACTACAGCGACCTGGAGATTAAAGTGCCGGTGCCCAAGCACATTGTGAAAGGCAGGCAGGTAATGAGCACCCGTGCTGTCAGCCTGTGACGGGTGACGAGCTCCCCATCGCCCCAGCCTGCCAGTGTGTTGCTTCTTAGCAGCTCTAATTGCCTGCAAAGCGATGCTGAACTGTGATGGAGCAGGCGTGCGCATGCTAGGGGTGCCCCAAACTTGCCCACTGAAGGCCATGCCTGATTCCCTTTCAGTGCAGCAGAATGCAGCTGCCTCCTCTCATGCAGGCATGCGTGGCCTGTGCAGACGCTGATCCCCTGGCTTGATCAGCGCACCCTACCCCTGCAGACCCCAGACGCTGCCTCAGCTTCCTGGGAGGAATACAATGACATATTTCCTCTTTCTTCTCCACTCCCCCTCGCTTGAAACCCAGATGCTGGCTCTGAGTGGCTACTTTATATACACACACACACTGAAACCCAGACCTTGCCTCCAAGCTGAGGCTTCCTAAGGAAACACGTTATCCAAACTGGTGTAATTAAAGGCCAGGTCGTCCCGCACGAGGTCCCTGTTTCTCTCAGACTGCCCCGTGGCTCGCTGCTCTGTAGCTTTATTTTGTGCTGCTGTAAGAGAGCTGCCTGCAGGGTGGATTCAAACAAGTGCAGCTCATGTGACTACAGCTGAGGCATGCGGCAGAGTGGCCTGCTTCATTTCACCCCAGACTGGTTTCCTTGGACTCACAAGGGAATGGGAGCTGGGTTTAGTGAATGAGGCAGATCCCTTTGACGATCCGATCCCCCGCCTCTGTTCTCCCTGCTCGCTTAGCGCTTGTGGGGAAGCCCTGCCTTTTTGAATGTGAGTTGATCTGACAATATTGTCAGGTGGATGGATGGAGGGTGTTTTTTTAACCTGGCAGAGACCCATTGGCAAGTGACCTGCAGGAAAATCTACAGGTAGCTGTAGCTGCCCTTCCTCCTCCACACTTCCTGCCCTGTGAGCATCTCATTGCTGGGCTGGACAGTGGGTTTGGGGTAGCTAATGTAAATTACAACCCTCTTTGGTTTGTTCCCACTCTGTGATCTTATTGGTGGGGGTGGGTTCAGGGAGGGGTACACAGACAGACTGGCTGTTCGAGCCAGAGGTTTATTTTTACTTTCCGTTGTCCTAGAAGCCTTTAAAGAGGCCCCCACCGACTTTGTATTTTTCCATTTGGGAAATATGTTTTTTTTTTTCCCCCTTCCCCTCTGTTTTCAGGGCAGCTGAAATGAGCACAGTCGGTTTTGTTCACCAACTTCAACCTACATAGCTCTGTATCCGAAATAGCTTTGTTTGTGCATCAACATAATTGACAGTGGCAGCACAGACGTAGGCAGAATGTAGTTTGCTGCTGCGGGGCCAGCAGGGGGCGCCCAAGACACCCTTTTTCTATAGGGTCTATAAAATGAAACAGAACTATTTCTTGCTAGGTCTGAGAAAACAACACCTGCTTCTACCTTGTTTTGCAGTGAGGGGCTTTTCCTCTTCGGGAACAGCCTTCAGGCCAGTGAAGTTCTGGGCCTGACTTGAAAGCACAGTGCTGTCTGCATATGGTGCCAGCTTGAAGGAGCAGGGTCCTCGCGTGGGAGGTCCTGCACTCTGGTACTGCATGGGTGCACTGCAGAGCCACCCTTCATTCTGATGGTGCTGGATCCTCCAACCCCCTTTTGCATCATGAGCTGAAGGCCGCTAGCAACTAGAGAAGGGACAGGAGAGAGAGAGAGGAACGGGTTAGTGTTCACTCTGCTTAGAAGAAAGAGGGGCAGAAAGAAACCTCTGGCTTGTCGTTCTTTTCTTTTTCCCTCCTTTCCTTTTAATGAGCATCCCAGCATGACCTTGGGGGTGACCCTGCTGTCCCTGGCAGCAGAGTTTGATGGCTGATGTAGTCACTTCATGTTATTTTTTAGCTCAGTTTACATTACTTCTCTTTTCCCTGCATGCAAATACATTTGCCAGATGTCAGCCCGATTCCACTGCAGAGACTAATCTTGGTAATCAGGAAACTGAACTGGCTTAAAGATGGTCTGTCTCTCCCAGAGCTGGTTGGCTAGATTGTGATTAGGAAAGCCCAACGCGACCTGCTCACAGATGCTCCCGGCTTGTGCCACGTTCTCTTCAGATCTCACAAACGAAGGTGGATGGGAGACTACCTAGGATCTGTAAGAGTGGTGTTGGTGACTTGTTAGGGGTAGTCTCCCCTGTAAGCTGGTTCTGAGTCAATTCCCCAGCACAATGCAGGAGCTGCTGTGTGGCTGAAGGTGCTGTCTTTTAAATGAGATGTAAAATTGAGCTCCCAGTGACTGGTGTTCCTTAACGTTCTCAAGGCATTTATTGCAAGGGTCAACGTGTAAGCGTCTTGTCCAGATTCCACCTCCTCTTCTTCCTCTCCAAACACCCCTGCAAGTTCAACTGGATTTGAGCTCTCTTCATTTATTGTCCTACACAATTGTGTAGTGATGCCGCATGCTGTTAAACAGCTGGCCTGGCCCACCACAGAAGTGGCTGCGTTTCAGTGGTGGGTCAAGTAATCTCTGTTTTCGCCCTCATCTACCCCACGGAGGGGTTGAATCTGAATGAATGTTTCCAAGTGTTCTGACGCTTTCTAAAGAGGATATAGTTTACGGCACTCGGGCCTGAATGGAGTTGTACTCATGCAGGTAGCTGCTCTACAAGATTTCCCACAGCACCGTGCCGAGGTTTAGATGGGAGGAAGGAGTTCTTACTTCTGCACGGGAGAATATGCCTGGCTGGGCTGCTGCACAGCCCTACGATTTCACGTTTCTCCTCTCTAATAACATTGGCCAGGTGGCATGTGTGTGACCACAGGCATGGCCCTCTGCTGCAGGAAGGGGTGTCCTGGGGATAGGCAGGGTTAAGAAGGGGTTGGCTGGGGGAGGGAAACAGGAAGTGACACCATTTGTGTCTTTTCATCCAGTCCTGATCCCCCGGCACAGAAACTGCAGATCTTTCTAACCTGCAGCACCGCCACATTCCCTGCTGTGGGCAAAGGCCCTGGGAGGATTGGAGTGAGGCCACCAGTCTGCGAGCTGTGTGGCTGTGAGCTAAGCTGTGGCTGACCCCAGCTGTTCAGAGGTGACAGTAACATCTGAATCATCAGTCGTGGGTTTCTAGCATGCACTCCCCTTGTCAGACGACGGCTGTAGTGAAGCGGTTCACACACATGGTAATGTCACCCTCTCTTTCATCTATCCAGTGTCATGGAAGCAACTACATAGCTAAGGTTGCAGCTGAGTTTTCATTTAAACCAGATCTTGACCCACTCTAAAATCCACAAAAACGTCCGTATCTCCATCAAAATTGATAGGCTAGGTCAGGGGTCAAAGTATAATTTTTCTACCAAATTTGTAAGTAAATGGACATAGGATTTGTGAATGACGGCATCTTGCAAACTGGAAGTGTTCACCCATGTTCTACAAATAAGCTTACTCTTTTCCTACTTGGTAGCAAAAAAGCTGAAGTAAAGTGAGATTAAAATGCACTTCACTGGGCTTTCTTGGCTGTGAACTAGTGCCCAGCACCAAAGATGATTTAAAATCTCATTTTAAACATGATTAACTTTTGATTTAGGACGGTTGCTATGGCATTTTGGCTCAGGCAAGCTTAAATGTAGCTGTCCCTGGACTGTCCCTGGAGGAGCAGCAGCTGGAGACTGGGAGGGTAGAGGTTCCTCTCTCTCACCGTGAACTCTGATTGAGTGTAGCCCCCCTCCCCTCCCTTCCCATCACATTAGTATGAGTGCCTCCCCAGAACTTGAACGTAAAAATAACAACGACAAATCTTTCTTCCTTCCCAGCCTGTAGGAGAAATAGCTGGATTAGTTCATAGGTTTTTTGTTTGCTTGCTTGCTTGGTGTGGGTGTGTGTGGGTGTATTTGTGTGTGAAGAAATTATTGGGGCTGAAAGCGACATGGAAGAGCTGAGTTCTGAACTCAGCAAGGCCCACAGTCATTCTGCTCTCTTGTGGGAGTTGGTTTAATAGTCTAGGCACGGCTCCGGTGAAAGTTCTGTCTCCTGCACCCTTGCGTCCCATCTTCCGTGACTCCAGTGGAATGGAGTTGTCATGGGAAGTTGTGGTGGGGGCAGGGGGGGAGAGGCAGCTAGGGCAATCCAATGGGGGACTTTGAGCATCAGGGACAGAGACCTTGAATCGCTCTCTATATTTAATGGGGCGCAACTGCAGAGAGTGGAGCCGGGAGGTGATGAGATCACGGTGACCTGAATTGCTAAGCAGACTGGTTGCTGTGTTTTGTGTTCATTGGAGCTTCCTCAGGCCCTGTGGCTTCGTTCTGGATATGAATTGAAATCATCAAGCCTAGAAGTCTCCAAATGCATGAGTCCTTGTGGCCAAGAGTGTGCGTGTTTGGATGGGGCACGATCATCTGGCCCATCGCAGGTGCAGGAGTGGCATTTCTGCAGCTACTTGGACATCCATGAGCCCAGAGGAGCTAAAAAGGGCCCCGAGGCTCCAGGCCAGCTTAATCTGAAGGGCTGATGCGCTCAACAGTGGGGGAAATCTTAAAACCACAACTTCTTCCCACCAACATCGCTTCAGTCTTGCCTGGCTGCAGTTTAGCAGCTGCTCTGAATCCAGGGGCTGGTTTTGGCTAAGCACTGAAATAGCTGGGAGGTGGGGCTGCAAGCCCTTCAGGAATGTAATCGTGTATTTCTTTTCCATCAAGGTGGCCTCCCTGGTAGCCATCACCTCTGCCCAGAAGGGTCTGATCTACTGAGGAACGCTACTGCACGTTCTGCAGTGATGGTGTGGTTCTTCGAGCAGAGTTGGGCTGTATCCCAAAAATTAACTCATTGAGCCTAGAAAATTGTGCTCCCTGCTTTGTCCAAAGCCATCTTGCCCAAGAGAACAGCTGGTTTAGAGCCTTCAAGATCTACATCCACTGCATGCAGGAGTCCCAAGTTCAATGCTCTATTTATTCTTTACCATCTGGCATCTACAAGGAAAAAGTATCAAAATCTGCTGTTTCAAGATGGTTAAAATGGTGCATCCATGAGGCCTACAAGTCAGAGTGTCTCTGTCCAGCAACCAGCATCCAAGCCTACTCTCTGAGAGCGGTAGCAGCCTCTGATGCACCACGTTAAGCCTCAGCAGGTGCTGCCTTTGGTAGGAGGGCGCGCCACGTTGTGCCATCCCAGGAGTAGAGAAGGAATTTAAAACCCTGTCGTTCTGTTTGCTCTGAACCCTCCCTGAAGGTGTACTGCTATAAAAATCCCATTCGTTAAAGGATCTGTGCAACTAGTGGAATAGGAAAACTTATTCTGATGTATTGAAAATTTCCTTTCTCTGAGTTCCAAGGTCTACAGCTCCGACCCTCCCTTGTTTAGAGTATTTCTTTGGCCTGCTTGGCTCATTGATTAGTTCGTGACGGTATGTTCTGCTGTTGGAACTCAAGTTCGTTGTTGTGTGTATAAGCTTGTTTGGAAATTTCAGTCCACAGGGGATATTATCCTGTGCTGTGGAAACAGTTTCAACTTGTGCATTCTTTGCTGTGGTTGGCCAAACCTTCCCATATCAATGACTGACAGGTCTGGTTTTGACTGTGTATATTCAGGCTGAGAGCCCATTGGTTAATGGATCTGTGTCCTTGTAACTCAGAGAGGAAATTTCCAATAAATGTTCCTATTCTGGGAGCCTAATTGTGTTGTATCAGGGTCTCTCTTGTCTTTAGCCCATGAGTGCTTATAGATCCAGAGCTCCCCCAATGAAACAGCAAGTCACGTCCGTCTGGGGAATCCTGGTGCCATATCACTTAACAGATCAGCTTGGATTGCCTCTCCATCCGCTCTGGGTCTCTCCACAATCTCCGCAAACTCTCCCCCCGGCTGTACTCTGCCCTATAGTCTCTAATAGGTGTCATTTCAAATACGAGAAGCCATACTCCATTGACTTTATTAAAAATAATACTGCTTTCTTGGCATGCTCACCACCTCCTGGCATCTTCCTGAGGCTGATCTTCTTTGAAACATTGCTGTAAACTTCTCAGGTCCTGGGCACACTTATCCTGGCCTTGTTACTGCCCGGTCTGGTTGTTCCTAAGAGGTCACTTGGAGAAGTACATCCAGCCTCAAGTGGCTTCTCTTTTAGCCACCTCAGACTAAAGAGATTGCAGGCTTGTTTAAGGATTCATTTGTTTGCTGAACTGTGGCTAAATCACTGACCTCCGCTTTGGAGGCTGCCGGCTTATTCTGTGCCATGCTGTGGGAGCAGTACCCTGCAGCACTAATTCTGCTTAGAAACTGCCTGTGGTTAAACCTCTGACAGCTCCTGTCTTCCCTCAGCTCTGAGAGTTACGAACGAAAGGGGCTAGGCTGAGAGTCCTTGAGGCTGAAAGCCCTCTGTCCACGGAGCAGCAGCCGGGCTCTCTTCACAACCCCCTTCCAGAAGGCCTTCGCCCTGCCTTGGAGGGGCTCATCTCCAGGGGTGTGAAAGGAAGCTGGCTCCGTGGCGTGGCCTCTGTGAGAGGCTACGTGGGACGTGGATTCCCTCAGCTCAGTTCACAAAGGCCCACAAACATCTGTCAGATAGAAATTTGCTTCCAGTCATGTCTGCCCTGGACTGGATCGAAACAGGAGACTTAATGCTGTTACCGGTCCCCTGAGCCAGCCAGTTTTCCCAGTTCCTTTGTTCCTGAATTCCCCTTGGGCTCCTCTCAATGGGCCTTTTGTTTGATTTAGAGACTCCACTCAGCTTACACATGGGTATTTTAGATACATCCGTCTTGCACAGTCTGGGCTGAGCAGTATTTAAGCTTAGTGGCTCTTGCTTTCCCTGTTTTCCCCCTCCATTGTGTGCACTGGGTGTTCTCAGGTCCTCTCCAAAACTTGACAGGGACCTGTCAGAAGTGGCTCATTTTTTGGTTTTATCTCTGTGGCATCTATCAAATGCAATTGTGGTGCAGTCCCTGACTGGAGCAGCTTCAGTCTATCTCCTGCCCGCACTGAGTCACTAGAAATCACCTAGGTAATGGATAATGTAAGAACATTTCAGATGAGAACTGCAGAGCAAAATCTGGGGAAACTCTGGGAGAGTGTTCAGGCATATCTAGCGGTAACCCCCTCGCCTCAGTGCTAAGGCAGTGTTTGAAAGATGGGGCAGTTCCCTTTCCTGAATATGTTTTTATAGAGGGAGAGCCGGGCTCCCCCCAGATCCCTTTCTTCAGTGACTGCAGCTTGAGGCTGGGGAAGAAAGAACAGATGGTCTCTTCTGAGACTGAAAGTAACACCACTCCATGAACCAAGCCAGCAGTTGCCTCCACCTCCTTTGGGAAGAAGCATGTCCGCTCCACAGCAGGTCTGATCAGGGTCTCCCATATGGCAGCATTGCTGCTGTGTGAGGGACCTGGCCTCATTCCTGTAGAGGGCATGCCAGGAATAAAACCTTTCTTGACTTTGCTGTCAGCGCTGTCTCTTTGCTTCCATTTCCTGCCCTGTCCTAATATGTGCTGTAGCAGGGGCAGCGGGCCATGTTCTGCCCCCACACACGTGACCCACATGCTCTCCAAGCCCTACCACGGATGCAGCAGGAGGCATAGGACCCACCCAAGATCACAATTTTCATGCTGTTCTCCGGGTTGATTCTGGAATCTCCATCAGTTGCAGGTGTCGACGTTAAAGCACATGCCAAGCTGTCTCTCCCCCCCCCCCCCCCCAACCCAGCAAGTATGCCTTGTCTTTAGCACACGAGTGAAGAATTCAGGGAGAGAGAGAGACACTTCAACCCTGTGGAATCCTTCGCAGAATAGAAATCCCCTCCTCATTCCCCCTGTTCTGAAAGCTGGGGCATGCACTCAAACTGCAGCAATAGCAAAGGGCACATGAAGAAGTCCCCAGTAGAGTAAATGACTGCACATACGTGGTTTTCCATCTCCCTGAAGCTGTGGCAGGATTCCCAGCCTCCGTGCTATATAAAGAGCTGATTGCTTTCCTCTCTCATCCCCAATGAGTGCACTCGACCCCCCCGCCCCAGCAAACACAGGGGAGAAAGCAGGAGGGAATGTCCCTTTTGATTTCCTTGTCTCTGTGCTTCCAGGTGTCGGTGGATCTCAGCAGCAGCTCAATTCGCGTGGCCGTGCTGGAGGGGAGCAGCCAGCGTGTCCTTGTGGAAGGGAGACTCACCCACAAGATCAACACGGAGAGTTCCCTATGGAGTCTGGAACCAGGGAAATGCATCTTGGTAAGAGCGGCCTCTTTTGGGCACCTCCTTCTCGCAGTCACCCAGCGGGAGAGTGGGAGCAACACGTACATTGGCTTTGTGTGTCCTTACCCTTTGACCAAGAAGCAGCCATCTGCAAAGCCAGGGTGGTAGCAGCCTTTGCCAAATCAAGGGGCCTGACTTGGGTCTACCAACCAAATGCTAAATCGATCTCTTCCCTCCCTCTGCAAATGACTCACACTTCTACTCCCCACCACATCCCTTCACTGGCTGTTCCAACAGCACGTTCGAACTCCCCACCCCTCTGCCCTGGCTTCTACTGTCTCTCCTCTCTTGCCCCTGAGCTCGGCTTGCTCTGCTCACCTTTTTGGGTACGTCTCTCCTTTCCTGTGCCTGGAACCCCAGCGCTCCTCGTTCTTCTCCTTCAGCTCCCTCCTTGAATCCTGCTGGCTCTCCCCTCTGCCTTCTGCTCCTGTCTTGCCCGACCCCAATCACCACTTAAACATGTGTCCGTGATCCACCGCTCTGTACTGTGAATCACGTGATTCCTTCCAGCCCTCCCCTCCCTCTGTCTCTCCCCCGTCCTGTCCTGTGTCATCTTATTTAGACTAGAAGTTCATTGTGGCAGGGACTGTGTCTCTCCCCTGCCTTAACCTGTGATGTGCCGTGCACAGTTGTGGCGTTGTATTAATACTTATTAGAAATGAGCATTAGTTGGCACAAGGGGTGGGAGCTGTGGTCCCTGCTAATCCGGGTGCTCTGAGCTCTGCCCCTTTATTTTGAGAGCGGTAACTGGGCAATTCTGCAGACTTAACCAACTGGCAGCTGATTAAGGGGAGGACTTCACATTGTTATCACATTTCCAGTGCATACTAGCAGTCAGTGCCCAAACATCACCGCGGTGGTCTTGCTTCCCAGCCTGCGGCAGCCTCATCCAGAAGAGGATCCCCAAGGCCCTGCCCACATGGTAGTTTTGTCAGCGCTATCTTGCTTAGGCTTTTATCTCGCTGCCCATCTCTGTAATACATGGGCACCTTCCCCATAAAATCCATAGCAATAACCAAGTGCGTAGTGGATTTCATGGAGTCTCTGGCATGTCTCCTTTCTGGGGTCAAAACTCTACTTGGAGGAGGGGTTTGCATTTGTTTGTTTACATTTTATTAATTTCCTCTTTTTTGATTGGTTGGGGCATAGGAGAGGAGGGAGGGTTGGGGGTGGGAGGCTGGGAGCAGGAGGGGGGCGGAGGGCTGGGGAGGTAGGAGGGGGGGTTGGGGCAGGGGGCATAGGGGCAGGGGAGCCAGTGTTGAGTGTCCTTGCTGTTCCTGCTATAGTTTGTAGGACTGGTTCTTGCAGACTGTTCTGGAGCTGGTGACTTTGCTGGCAGGGCTAGCCTGTGTGGAGTGACAAGAGCTTTCCTTTTCAATGGCCATTGAAAACCATCGTTAGCCTGGGGAGAGCCTAAGCTGAAGTGGGTGTAAATGCCCATTTAAAAAAATTGCTTTCCCACCGCTGATCTTGATCCAGCAGAAGTTGTGGTGTGGGTGGGGTGTTATTGACCCTATCTGCCCAAGGTGAAAAAGCTGCTCAGCAAAGCCTGGATGGGGATACTTGGAGCGGCTAGTATCAGTGCCCTACTTCCGCATGCACCGGCTGTCTCCGATACTGATTGGCTGCAGCGCCTGGGGTGTAATCGTTAGTTCAGGGCCAGCTGACTGAAGGAGGTCTCCCATGGCTTCTCATCGTGGTTGGGAACCAACAAGTGTTGCAGCCACATCTGGCCAGCTGGTCCTCCTAAGTCCCCCCTGCTGTGTAGCGGAAATTAGTCAAAAAAAGCCCCGATGCCAGTCATGGTGGTGTTCCAATGTAGGCATCCCACTGCTGTCACATGCCCTCAGTGTGGCCCATCCTCGCGCACATGCTGAGCCATTACAAGGATAAATGAAGGAACTGGCCACTTCATGCCATTGATGTCCTCGCATCCAGTGAGTCTTTAGACCCTAGGCTTCTAGGGGGGAGTAGGCCAGGTTGCATTTAAGGTGTAGGAATAAGATGGAAGAAAGGTCTGTGGCCACCGCTAGGCTCAGACTCTGGCACAGAGGGGGCTGCGCAGGGAAGGAGTGCCCCAGAGTTATAAAGAAATCTGTATGACGGGACCATGTCGTTGTAGTTAGTCTTGTTGCTCAAGTGGTAGCAAGTGGCAATGTTAAATTTCTCTGCAAGGAGAGCAAGTGACCTTCCTTGGGGCCTGGCTGTGCTGCTCTCTGGGGGGGAAATGTACAGAGTGTGGCCGGCTCTGGCATCAGGAATAGCAGAAAATGTTGCACAAATGGACCAAGTGCCCCTTTCTTGAGTCTCTGCATAGCTTCCTGCAATCTGGGGGAGAGGATTATTGGTGCTCCATTGCACCACCAGGTTTTGGGTCACTAGAGGGATTCCCCTCCCCCCGCCCCCCCAGGAGGTAATGGAAAATGGTAAGCAGCCAGCTGGAGGGCAGAGGAGACACCTCAGTACGGTGATGTCCACTAGGGAGAGCACTGTTGCGGATGGTGTTACGTGGAAGGCCCTCTGAGATTATGGTGATGGGCAGCTGTATAAAACCCTATGATAGGTAGTGCTAAGAAAACTGGAAATCTAACCAAAGAATTGTGTAACTCTTGGATGGCCTCTGTGTGAGAGAGAACCACGTCTTCTAACCTGTCACCTCTTTAGAGAAGGTTAAAGTAGCAGATAATAGCGATGTAGTTTACTTCGATTTTCCAAAAAAGGTTTTAATAAGGTCCCTACTAGATGAATAAGGAAAACAAACAAGAAACAAAGACATTCTGTAGGAGCTTTGCAGATTGTGCAAAGGTTAGTCGTGGGAGTTCCCAGGTCAGTAAGAGGACTTGTGTTTGTTAAATAACAGTGATTTGGAGGAGGAAGGGGACAGCGAGATGGTGAAGTAAGATCAAGAGCTGGAGAAGGCCCCCGTTGGAGTCGACGAGAGTCTTTCATTGCCTTGAACAAGCTGGTTCAGGCCATCAGTGAGTGAAAACGATGGAGGTTTGTGAGAATCTCCAGCTGGCTTCTAACATATTGATGGTGGGAGTGTGGGGTGCAGGGCAATGAGGCGGTAGATGAAATTACACTTGAAGGTAATTGGAGAATAGTGAATAATTCTCAAGCAGGACTGTCTCCTTTGCTGCTCACAGAATAGACACGAGTGGTTTGCTGGTTCCTTGGCTTCATTCATTGTTTGCAATTCGACTGTTTGTTAATGAATTGTTGTAACTCTTGCTTGCGCACAGCTCCCTGCGAGCATTTGGTACGTGAGCTGTACGGGTTAGGTAAACCGCCTGGTATTGTTTCTGGTTTGTGATTGGTTGAGCAACACAAGCTTGTCCTTCTGCAGCACTTGCCCATTTAAAATCCAGTGGTGATGACTTCACGGCATTGCACTCTGAAGTTTTATTTCACACAGATGTTCGTGCTGGCCAAACTTACTGTCACCTCCGTGCTCACAGGAAGCGAGAGCAGCCAAAGCAAACTCATAACACGGCGAGTGACTCTTCATGGGGGATCTTTGCAGCGTTCCCCGCAGCTGGCGCATTGGCAGCAATAGTCCAACCTTCTCTGTGGGATCATTGTGGGGAAAGGATTAGGAGTTACTGAGATCAGCGACGAGCGATTGCCCGCTGCACAGAAAACAAACAGGTGCACAGCATGCTATTTGAGCTGAGCACACATAGGGAGACCAGATGTCCCGATTTTATAGGGACAGTCCTGATTTTTGGGTCTTTTTCTTATATAGGCTCCTATTACCCCCCACCCCCGTCCCGATTTTTCACACTTGCTGTCTGGTCACCATAAGCACACATCAGCCGAGCCCCAAGCACAGAGCTGCTTCTGTGCGCACGCAGGCTCACAGCAGACATTTACCTGTTGTCAAGCTGTCCATCTTGCAGGCACTGGGAGCAGGGACAAGATTGGTACGAAAGATGGCTTCTAGATGGAGGCAGCGTTGTTGTAGCAAGGTTGGTCTCAGGCTATTAGAGAGACAAGGTGGGTAAGCTCAAAAGTTCATGTCTCTCATCAGCAGCAGTTGGTCCAATAAAAGATCTGACCTCACCCACCCTGTCTCTCAGATGGCTTCTAGCGTCTCAGCCGTTCTAGCCAGACCATAATTGAGGCTAGGGCCATCTGCCTATTCAGGGTGGTGATGTCCGCTCTGCTCCCAGCGGTCTGGCTGTACTGAGTGGGTCAGTCTGCTGTTCAGACTGATTTCTTTTCAGTTGAAATCCATCACTTTATCTTAGTTTGAGAGATTTCATCTCTCTCCCGTGCAGGCTCCCTTTATCTTCCACAATCCCATCTCAGTTTTCCAGGCTGTAGGTATGTACTTTCCCTTAGCCCATGGAACCTGCCATGCCCCTCTAATTGCACGCCAGGTAAGTATAAAGAACAGGAGTACTTGTGGCACCTTAGAGACTAACAAATTTATTTGAGCATAAGCTTTCATGGGTTGCAGTGCTCCCCATGCCCTGCAGCTCTTTGATTACACAAGGGTGTCTCCTCGCCTGCTTCTCCAGCTCCCTTTTCTGTACCTTCCAGCTCCCTGCCTCTCATCTGTTCCTCATCTCAGTTCCAGCTTCCTCACCCCGTCCTGCACCCTGTCTCCTCCTTCCCCTGCTCGTCTTATTCAACATTTATTTTCCCTATTTTTTCCTGATTATTAGTAAATACAAACCGGGCTAATGGGGTTAATTTTCCTTGTAATCCATCCACCCCATCCTAGCTGCTTTCCTGTACACCTCTCTGTTTCACCTCTCTGTTTCACTGTCCTGTAGTTTGTCCCCCCATGCCACAGTCAACGTGTTTAACCATTTCGTCCTCCAGTTTCTTATGCTGGTTTCCTCTGCATTTATCCTCCTCAACGCTCCCTTTATTCTCTGCCTAAAAGGAGCACCACTGCAGTGTCTTGTTTAATTATGTCCAATTTGCAGGTGACCGGACTAAAGATCAATGTATTTTCCATCCTCTCC